CACCAACAGAGGGAAGAGAAAATCCACACAGTGTAAAAGTGTTGCCAGCTATTCTTCACACAAAGGGCTTATATCTAGAATACGTAAAGACCTAAAATAAAACAATCACACACACCCCCAAATTTAAAGACCCAATCCAAAAACAGATATCTGAAATAGATCTCAGATAAAGTAGAAACAGCAAATAAATATAAGAACAAATGGTCAACATCATTGGTCATTGGAGAGATTCAAATTAAAACAACAGGGGCTGGGGATTTAGCTCAGCAGCAAAAGCGCCTGCCTGGCAAGCACAAGGTTGTGAGTTCAGTTCCCGGTACTGGAGAAAAACCAAAAAAAAAAAAAAAATTAAAACACCAAGATTCCATCTCACTCCAGAAAGAAGGGCTAGTCTCAATAAATCAACCAATAACAAATGCTGCATGGGTTGAGGGGAAAAAGGAATGCTTTTCCACTGTTGGTGGGAGTGTAGACTGGTGCAACACTGTAAAAATCAATGTGGGGATTACTCAAAAAACTAGGACTAGAGATTCCATTTAACACAACTATGCCCCTTCTTCATATCTTCCCACAAGAATTAACAGCATCATGTCACAGCAGTATAGGTGCATCCATGTTTACAGCAGCACAGCTTGTAATAGCTAAATCTTGGAAGCAATTCATATGCCTATCGACCATTGAATGAGTGAAAAAATGTGGTTTTTTAACACAATGGAGAATGACTCATACTTAAAGAAGGATAAACTTGAGACATTTATAGCTAAATGGATGGACCTTGAGACTATGCTCATAGGTGAAATAAATTGGACATATATGTGTAAATATCACCTTGTTTCTCTGGTGCGAGAAACTGAAAGTGCAAATAAGGACCAAAATATACAATACATACTGTGAAATAGGGAAAAAATGTTCAAAAGGAAAGGGGAACTGGGTGGGGGGAGGAAGAAAAGGAAAAGGAAAAATGAAAAGAAATGGATAAAATGGAAACAAAACTTTGTAAATAAGGAAGAGAAGAGGAGGTAAAGGGAGGGGAGGGAAATTAGAAAAAAGAAGAGCTAAGATATATCACATACAGGTACAAGTTCCCTACAATGGATGTAATCATTATATATATCTAAATAGAATTAACAAACTTAATAAAAACATAATAATGCTTTTGCACAGAAAAGAGCTATTCTTTGTGGTCTGTACATCTCATCTAGTGTATGGAGGTTACAGAGAGAGGGATGAGTTGCTTTCTCCATCGTACCCCAGCAAATGGCCATGTGTGAGCATGAAGCTTGGATGGGCTAGAGCTGTGCACAGCACATGGGCCAGAAATCCTGAAAGTTTTCCATATGAGAAGGAAAGTAGGAAATTAGAGTGTTCATCTGTCTTCATGATCACAGCCAGGGAGGAGAGATGGTGAGCAGATACTGACCCAAGGCTTTGTGGATTATTGATGTGAACAGCAAACATGGACGGAGAGAAATCTGAGGTCAGTGTGTACCTCAGGAGGAAACAAAGATCAGACACTGACAGAACATGGACCCTGTGCTTCCTGGATGATAGCCCGCAGCCTTTGGGGACAGGAGGTAGCAGCAGTCGTGGTTGAGCATGTATCATTAAGAGCCTGGACCTTGGGGAGGTTGGGTCGTGGAGTCAACAGCATTGACTGCTGTAGCAGGCAGGGACAGCCAGCAGCACCCAATCAGTGTGCACCATGAGACAGGTGAGGGTTCTGAATCTTTCCTTCCTGTATGAATAAGGAAGCCAAACTTGGTGGAGTTGATGGTGCTGTCCAAGGTGAACTAGCTAGAGAGAGGCAGAGCAGGATCTAAAACCACACCTGTTTGGTGTGGAGCCCCTCACCACCATGATCTATTAGTGACTTCTCTTGCTAAGCCATCCCTGACCCAGTGTGTTTTGTTTGCTCAGCTGAGCTGCAATGTTTGGACTTCTGAAATGTTTTATATCCTACAATTTATTCTGATTCTGAAAGATTTTTGAAAAGTTTTTTCAATGAAATTTTCTATTCAGACATTGGAAGTAATTCCTTCCGCTCTTCCTCTGTCCTGTCCTTCCTTCCTTCCTTCCTTCCTTCCTTCCTTCCTTCCTTCCTTCCTTCCTCCTTTCCTTCCTTCATCCTTTCCTTCCTTCTTCCTTTCCTTCCTTCCTTCCTTTCTTCCTTCCTCCCTTTCTTTTCTTCCTTCCACTAGGGAATGAATTAAGGGTCTTCACACTGGGATTGAGCTACATCTCTATCCAGCCATCATTCCATCATTCCTCTCTCCCTCCCTCTCTCTCTCCCTCTCTCCCTCTCTCCCTCTC